TGGAGTTGGAGACCCTGCGGAGCCTGGAGGTGCTGAGGCTGCTGGTGCTTAAGCTAGAGGAGCAGGAGCTGGTGACACTAGTGCTGTTGACGCTGGAGCTGGAGGTGCTGGAGCTAGGGGTGCAGTGTCTGGCGGTACTGGTGCTGGAGGCACTATGCAGCCGCGACCGTTTTTTGTTCCCCTGCTTCGCCAGGTTCTTAGTCTCCCTTCTTCTACTGGCCTTCCTCCTACCTTACTGATTCCATCGCCTCACCAGTCACAACAACAATGACAGCCAGACTCCCCAGTGCCTGCTCCTTCTCCTTACACAGCGCGGACAAAATCCTTTACAGAGCGTCGTGAGCCTGAGTCTCGTCCTGCCTCACTTGTTCGCGCAATTCGCACTGGTCATCGAGTTCCTCGTACGCGTCCTCCTCCTGTCCCCGGCACCCACGCCATGGCACTTCGTCCTTCCTTTGTTCCACTTCGTGTTCCTCTGCTGCCTCCTCCTGAGTCCTCTCTTCCTGCCGTCCCTGACCCTGAGTCTGACCTCGACCGTGCTGCCAGTCCCACTGTTTCTCGTCCCCTCACCACTGTTGTCACTGACCCTTCTTTTGAGTCCACTGCTGCGTCTGCCCTCGTTGCTGAGCTGGTTGACTTTGCTGCTGCATGTCATCTAGACTACGCCACTGCTCTTGTTGCTGAGTCTGAGTCTGCCACTCCTCCGTCCGTCGAGGGTAAGTGTGCTCTTGGCACGGACGTCCTTGAGGACTGGCAGGAGGACCTTGAGTGTCTTACAGCTGCTGTACCTCATCTCGTGGCCATGCTGCTTGCCCCTGAGGGAGATCCAGATGCACCAGACATCCCGACCCCGCGCTCTTATATAGAGGCGATTACGGGTCCTTACTCCTCTCAGTGGCAGACAGCCATGGACGCCGAGATGGCATCCTGGAAGTCCACAGGCACCTACGTCGACGCACTTCCCCCCTCTGGGGCGAACATAGTTGATGGCATGTGGATTTTCAGGGTGAAGCGGCCGTCGGGTTCTCCGCCTTCCTTCAAGGCGCGTTACGTTGCTCGAGGCTTCAGTCAGCGACAGGGGGTCGAATACTTCCAGACCTTCTCCCCCACCCCGAAGATGACCACTCTTTGGTTGTTGCTGCACGTCGCAGCTCAGCGTGACTACGAGTTGCACTCTCTGGACTTCAGCACAGCTTTCTTGCAGGGCAGCCTGCACGAGGAGATCTGGCTGCGCCGCCCACCTGGCTTCACTTGGCCGTTTCCTGCAGGTACCCAGTGGAGCCTCCGGCGGCCAGTCTATGGTCTCCACTAGGCACCTCGTCAGTGGCATGACACACTGAGGACTACGCTTGCGGCTCTTGGGTTTGCTCCTTCGACTGTTGACCCGTCGCTGTTTCTACGCACAGAGACTTCGCTGCCGCCGTTCTACGTCCTCATGTATGTCAACGACCTGGTCTTTGTCACTGCACTGAGGCACTTGCCCTTGTGAAGTTGGAGCTGCAGAAGAGACACACCTGCACTGACCTGGGTGAACCGTGCAGCTATCTTGGCTTGCAGATCACCTGGGACAGAGCACGGCACACCATTACCTTGACTCAGTCACACATGGTGCAGCAGGTCCTTCAGCGATTCGGCTTCCGGTACTCCTCGCCACAGTCCACTCCTCTGCCTACCGGTCACTCGCTCTCAGATCCACCTTTGGACGAGTTCGTAGAGCCGAGTGGCCCGTATCCAGAGCTTGTGGGCTGCTTTATGTACTTGGTGACCTGCACTCGACCTGACCTTTCATACCCTCTTAGCATCCTGGCACGCTACGTTGCGCCCAGGAGACACCGAACAGAGCACTAGGAGGCCGCTAAGAGGGTGTTGCGCTACTTGTGCAGTACGTCGGGCATGGGGCTCGTGCTTGGAGGACGGGGTCCAGTTGTCCTTACTGGTCACGCAGACGCTTCTTGGGTTGACGACTTGACTACGCAGCGGTCCTCACAGGGTTACACCTTCAGCCTCGGTTCCGGCTCTGTTTCCTGGCGGTCTACCCGCTCGTCTTCGGTTCTCAGTTTCAGTTGTGAGGCTGTACGTAGTGGAACTGAAACTCCTCGTCTTCGGTTCTCAGTTTCAGTTGTGAGGCTGCACAGGAGTTACGCTGGCTCACCTACTTGCTGACTGACTTGGGAGAGCAACCTTGTTCGCCTCCAGTCCTGTACGTAGACAACAAGGCCATGATTGCCTTGTGCCAAGAGCACAAACTGGAGCACAGGACGAAGCACATCGCTCTGCAATACTTCCTTGCTCGAGAGTTGCAGCAGCGTGGTCAGCTTCGTCTTGCGTACGTGGCCACTAGGGCCAACAGTGCTGATATATTCACCAAGGCACTTCAGTCTGGTGATCATCAGCGCTTCTCTACTGTTTTAGGCCTTGTGCCTACTTTGCCTCACTTGCTTACTGCTTGACTTTGCTTGTACTGTGATCTATATATATACCTGCATGCTTACTCTTGCTTGGCTATGATCACTGTGTTGAAATGTATTCGTTTATATTTATAACTGCCTGCAGTAGAACCCAGTGTAGTTATGAGATCTTGCAGGTGGTGTACAATTGTTTCCTCTTTTGCCTATATCTTGTACCCTTGTTTATTATTGAAACCCTCTTTGACAAATCTCTCTCGACATGTTCCTCTCGACCCTCCTTGCCTCTCACCTCTCTCGTAACCTAGCTATGGCTCCTAAGCTTAGCTAGTTAAGATTTTGACACACTGTACTGTTTGTGCTCTTTTTATAACACTGCATGTGAACTGGCCTTGTGGCCCTTTGCTTGTGCTCGAATTGTGTGGTGACTTTGTGATCCACCCTGAGCTTGCTTTGCTTTTCTTGACTGGTCTTGTGACCACTTGTTCTCCCCCACTTTGCCTATGGGGGTGTGTCATAATGTTATATTGCTTACTTTGTGTAGGCTATAGTGGGGTAGCCCATAAGGGGTACAACCCAATTAGGGTTAGTACTTGTACCCAACTTTCCGTTCAATCCAATCATTCTCGTTCATTCTTCTGACAGCACTGACCTTGGTGAGCTGCGCCACTACCTTGGCCTGCAGATCACCAGGGACAGAGCTGCTCGCACCATTACACTCTCACAGTCACACATGGTGCAGCAGGTCCTTCAGCGGTTCGAGCTTCAGCACTTTACTGTACATCGCACACCTCTTGTCGTTGACCACGGACTCACCGGACCCTTTCCTGACGAGCCGTTCGAGCCTAGTGGTCCTTACGCAAAGATTTTGGGCTGCCTCATGTACCTGATGACTTGTACTCGCCCGGACCTCGCCTTCCCTCTCAGCATCCTTGCTTGCTTTGTTGCGCCAAGGAGACACCGTCCAGTTCACTGGACAGATGCTGTGAGGGTGGCGAAGTACCTAGCGACGACATCAGGCGTGGGGATGATTCTTGGAGGGAGACAGGACGTCGTGCTTACTGGTCACTGTGACTCTTCTTACGCTGACGACGCCGAGACGCACAGGTCTACTCAGGGGTACTGTTTCAGCCTGGGCTCTGGAGCTGTTTCGTGGTGGTCCACACGTTCCTCCTCGGTCTTGACCTCTACTGCTGAGGCTGAGATCTACGCTGGAGCTATGGCTGCACAGGAGCTGCGCTGGCTGACGTTCTTGCTTACTGACCTTAGTGAGCGGCCGAGCTCTGCGTCGACCTTGTTCACTGATAACAAGGCGACGATTCTCCTCTGTCGAGAGCCGCGACTGGAGAGCAGAGTGAAGCACATTAACGTCAGGTACTTTCTTCTGCGAGAGTTGCAGAGGCGTGGACAGGCTCGTTTCGACTTTCTTGAGTCCGAGGCCAACACTGTAGACATCTTCGCCAAGGCCCTGCCGCCTTGTGACCACCAGAGGTGTTGTGTGCAATTAGGTCTCGTTGACACAGGTTCTCACCTTGCATAGTATTGAGTTCTCTCCTTGCTTTGTTTATACCCTTTACATATACCTCTGTGAACTCGTGAACTAGCCTTGTGGCTCTTTTGCTTGTGCTCGGAGTGTGTGGTAACGTTGTGATCCACCCCGAGCTTTGTTTCTTTGTGACTGGTCTTGTGACCGTACACTTTTGGTTTTGCTTGACACCTCTCACTTAGACTATGGGGGTGTGTCAAATGTTGTAGTCTTAGTGATGTGTGTTATAGGGGGTACAACAGTTAGGGTTAGGTTTATGTACCCCAACCAACCTTAGTGAAACCAACACTTTCATTCTTGACAGTTAGATGGGGTGTCTTGATGGGGTGTCTTGATGGGGTGTTTTATTGGGGTGTCTTGATGGGGTGTCTTGATGGGGAGTCTTGATGGGGCGTTTTGATGGGGTTCCGTACGTGTCGTGCCATTGTAGTCTTCTGGTGGCTGCACTTCCACTCATTTATCACTACTGTGAGAATCGAAGCCGCGACAACAGTATTGACAGGCTATGTGTGAAGGGTTATGCTAAACAAGCAGGAAATCTGTATGTACGCGATTTATACAACAGAGTAGAAACCTTGCATGATGGGCTCTGATGTGAATGGAATACTAGGTACATACCGGTACTACCTCCAGCTTGGATATGAACACCCCCGCAGCCATCCGATACGTTGAATTTAGACAGGCCCAATCCCAAGGAATGGCGGGAAACTCGAGGTCATTCCCGGCAGGCGACAGCCCCCTCGCGATTCTAGTTTTCTCCTGTCCGCCCGCCACACAAATCGGAATTCTGAGCTCTTGTTCACCAAGGCACTTGGTCGCATGGTCGCCTCGATAGATGAGACGGGCTGGTAGAATCTGGGGATGTAGGCTGGCCGCACCTCCACGCACATCTTAGGTGACCGTAACATCTCAGAAAGCACATTCACTCTTTGCTATTGAGTCATTGCCATCTACGCGACCAGTAGTCTGATATCTCAGTCCCGGTAACTGCAGCTGGTAACCCAAACCTGGTAACCCGAACCTGGTAACCAGGAACACCATTTCGAGCGATGTCGGTGGAGTGTCCGGTACCGGGGGAGCTGCCGGGCGATGAGGTGGTAGACAGCAGGGCGGACGGGGGAATAACGGCGGGGGGAGCGGACGGGAAAGACGGCGCGCGAAGCGCGACGGCAGGTAGTCGGAAGACGAGTTTGTCTTCGCGCGGCGCGCGCGCTCTGGTGCCATTTTCGCCGTACATCAATGCGGTCAACAAGGCCAAGGAGGAGCCCTACTCTGAAAAATCGCCTGATGGATACTTTCTGGTCAGTGGGATTTCGTTTTCCAGATTTTATTCATCTTGCCGGGTTCGTTTTTTTAGACGACTTTTAATGCGTTTTAAGAGCCGTACGCGGATAAAACGCCTGATGGTTTCTTTCTGGTAGGTGGATTTCGTTTTCGGGGACTTGATCCGGCGAGTTTCTGAGACGAATCTAATTCAGAGTTTCGCTAGGATCCAATAGGGCCGATTTGCAGGATGTTGAGTCCTCTGTGGTACCAATTCAGATGCTGAGTTTTTTTTTGTTTTACTCATTCTGCAAAGCAACCTGCGTTGTTGAGTAACGCCACTGCGTTTTGCTGTTCTTTCCATTTGTATCTCTCGCCTGTTCGCAGATGGCTCAAGCGGAGACTGTCCTGACGTTCGACCTGATCCATGAGAAGATCAAGTAAGTCAGCCCTGGAACATCTTCCATCCTTTTGCTTCAGAATCTTGAGTATCATCTCCCGTCCCTTCAGTGTCATAAGTATGTAGGTCTCGAGTATTTTGTTTTTTCCACATTTCGTGACCTCACTCTTTCAAGCGTGTATTTTTCCAAATGTCTTGAGTTTTTTTTTTTCACATTTCTTGAGTATTTTTTCACATCAGTCCGCGCCATTGTGTCACTCAACTAGCGCCAGCAAAAAAAAAAACCCTTCCCATTCCGATTGACGCTACGTCACCCATCTGGCACCAGCAAAAAACCTCCTTCCCATTTCAACTCCATAACGTCACCTTACCCAACTGAGACCATCAAAAACCCTCTACCCCGTCCCATGTCCACCTGGTCGGCATATCTTGTCTTTTTCACCGCCTTATGCCCCGCACGAGCTGCAGGAAGTTGCCGGCAACCATTGGGCTCTACCGCAATTTCAGGGGCGGGCAGCGGCTGCGCCAGGCCAGCACCAGCATTCTGTGACTCAAAATTCCCCTGTCACCTGGAAGGCGTGTCTGCACCTTACGCCCCACAGGACCGGCAGGGAGGTGCCGTCGACCATATGGCTGTACGGCAACTTCAGGGGCGGGCAGTGGCCTAGGCAGGCTATTGCCAACATGATGTGACACTTACCTCAAATCTGGCCGGCATATCTTGTATTTTTCTGCAATGTCCGCCCTGCAGGAGCTGCAGGGAAGTGCCGTCGACGATTGGGCTGTACGGCAACTTCAGGGGAGGGCAGCGCCTGAGGCAGGCCATTGCCAACATGATGTGTCCCTTGAATTGGCTCAGGAGTTACCTTCCATCTGGCTGACATATCTTGTCGTTTTCTGACGCCCCACAGGAGCTGCAGGGAGGTGCCGTCGACGATCGGGCTGTACGGCAACTTCCGGGGCGGGCAGCGGCTGAGGCAGGCCATTGCCACCATGATGCAGCGCACGTTCATGGGCGTGGATGTGGATCCGCTGCACATCTGCATCTCCAGTGGGGTCACCGCGTGAGTGGGGTTATTGTGTGAGTGAGGCAGTGCATGGGGTTATTGTGTGAGTGAGGCAGTGCATGGGGTTATTGTGTGAGTGAGGCAGTGCATGGGGTTATTGTGTGAGTGAGGCAGTGCATGGGGTTATTGTGTGAGTGAGGCAGTGCATGGGGTTATTGTGTGAGTGAGGCAGTGCATGGGGTTATTGTGGGAGTGATGTATATGAGCGTGCATGCATCCAACATGATGCAGCGCACGTTCATGGGCGTGGATGTGGATCCGCTGCACATCTGCATCTCCAGTGGGGTCACTGCATGAGTGGGGTTTCCACATGCCTGGGGTTACGGTATCAAACCATTATATACTGATATAGGCACTATTGGCGGAGGCGTGAGTGATCTGTATGAGTGTTACTTGAACGTGACTGCCATATTTCTAGTCGACTCAGAGTTTAGGTGCAGGTGCAACCTGCAGGTGCAAGCATTTGTTGTGTGAGTCTTGCAGACCTACCAAGCACACCTGGGTCTCTTTTGAGAATTCTTATAAGTCACACCACACCTGGGTCTCTTTTGAGAATTCTCAAAAGTCACACCACTCCTGGGTCTCTTTTGAGAATTCTCAAAAGTCACACCACACCTGGGTCTCTTTTGAGAATTCTCAAAAGTCACACCACACCTGGGTCTCTTTTGAGAATTCTCAAAAGTCACACCACACCTGGGTCTCTTTTGAGAATTCTCAAAAGTCACACCACACCTGGGTCTCTTTTGAGAATTCTCAAAAGTCACACCACACCTGGGTCTCTTTTGAGAATTCTCAAAAGTCACACCACCCCTGGGTCTCTTTTGAGAATTCTCAAAAGTCAAACCACACCTGGGTCTCTTTTGAGAATTCTCAAAAGTCACACCACACCTGGGTCTCTTTTGAGAATTCTCAAAAGTCACACCACACCTGGGTCTCTTTCGATTCACCACGTGAGTGATGGCGCTGGGTTTACTGTGTGAGTGATGGCGCTGGGTTTACTGTGTGAGTGATGGCTCTGGGTTTACTGTGTGAGTGATGGCGCTGGGTTTACTGTGTGAGTGATGACGCTGGGTTTACTGTGCGAGTGATGGCGCTGGGTTTACTGTGCGAGTGATGGCGCTGGGTTTACTGTGCGAGTGATGGCGCTGGGTTTACTGTGCGAGTGATGGCACTGGGTTTACTGTGTGAGTGATGACGCTGGGTGTACTGTGTGAGTGATGGCGCTGGGTTTACTGTGTGAGTGATGGCGTTGGGTTTACTGTGTGAGTGATGGCGCTGGGTTTACTGTGTGAGTGAGTGAGTGCTGTACTGCAGCGACACCAGCAGCTCCCCTCTGTGACTTTCCTCTCTCTTTTTCCCTCTTTCCCCCCTTTCCCCACCCTACTCTCTCCCATTGTCATCCGGTCCCCATACATGCGTGTTGATGAGCCTTTACTTCTTCGCCACCTGCCCCTCCCCCCTCCTTCCTCCCCCCCCACCTCCCTCCCCACTCCTCCCCCCACCAGCGTGTTGGATCTCTTCTTCTTCGCCACGTGCAGTGCGGGCGAAGGCTGCTTCATCCGCGCACCCTACTTCCCTGCCTTTGACAACGACATGAGCATTCGGGTAGGCGGGTAGGGTCGTAGGGGTGTGTGCATGAAAGAAAAGGATGAATCAACGGCATGAATCTCAATGTAAGCTGCTTCATCCCCGCACCCTGCTTTCCTGCCTTTGACAACGACATGAGCATCCGGGTAGGGAGGGGCACATCAATGTAAGAGGGCACATCAATATAAGAGGGCACATCAATATAAGGGCTTAACAGAAGGAAGGAGCTATCATGTCTTTGTCGTTCGTAGGGAGCTTCGGGCGTAGGGGCGTGATTATGAGGGGAGGGTGCTGAGGGGACGAGCATATGCGTACGGGGGTAGGGGTGTGAGCATGGAAGAAGCATTCACAGCCGCACCACAGGCCAGGGGCGTTCTGAGGCGACCAAGACAAGGCACCTCATGACACACGTTTCCCTTCCAATCGTTTCCCTTGCAATCGTTTCCCTTGCAATCGTTTCCCTTGCAATCGTTTCCCTTGCAATCGTTTCCCTTGCAATCGTTTCCCTTGCAATCGTTTCCCTTGCAATCGTTTCCCTTGCAATCGTTTCCCTTGCAATCGTTTCCTTCATGTGTTGTTTCTTGTGACCAAGACAAGACACCTCATGTGTTTCCCCCTCATGTGTTTCCCCCTCATGTGTTTCCCCCTCATGTGTTTCACCCTCATGTGTTTCCCCCTCATGTGTTTCCCCCTCATGTGTTTCCCCCTCATGTTTTTCCCCCTCATGTGTTCCCCCCTCATGTGTTTCCCCCTCATGTGTTTCCCCCTCATGTGTTTCACCCTCATGTGTTTCCCCCTCATGTGTTTCCCCCTCATGTGTTTCCCCCTCATGTGTTTCCCCCTCATGTGTTTCCCCCTCATGTGTTCCCCCCTCATGTGTTTCCCCCTCATGTGTTTCCCCCTCATGTGTTTCCCCCCAGAATGAGGTGGTGCCCATCCCCATCCAGCCTCGGGACACGCGAAGCTACATCCCCACCACCGTGGAGATGGAAGAGGCTTCTGATTCAAGATAATCAGATGCAACTAAAATTCACCGTCTCTCCCTTCCCTTCGCCCTCTCTTCACCAGAACGAGGTGGTGCCCATCCCCATCCAGCCGCGGGACACGCGAAGCTACATCCCAACCACTCTTGAGATGGAGGAGGCCTTCACGGCCGCGCAGGCCAGAGGCGTTCTGAGTTGACACACATAGAATACAAGCTCACACATAGAATACAAGCTCACACATAGAATACAAGCACACACATAGAATACAAGCACACACATAGAATACAAGCACACACATAGAATACAAGCACACACATAGAATACAAGCACACACATACAATACAAGCACACACATACAATACAAGCACACACGCAAGTGAACTCCCAGACTCCCTCTCTTCTCACCCTCTCCCCACCAGAACGAGGTGGTGCCCATCCCCATCCAGCCTCGCGACACGCGCAGCTACATCCCAACCACTCTTGAGATGGAAGACGCCTTCACGGCCGCGCAGGCCAGAGGCATTCGCCCACGTGTGCTGCTGCTCACCAACCCCGGCAACCCCCTTGGCACGCTCTACCCTGAAGCCACCCTGAAGGAGCTACTGCTGTGGGCAATCAACCACGAGCTGCATGTGCTGTCAGACGAGATCTACGCCAACTCCAAGTTCGGGTGAGTCTGAGTGGGCCTCGCTTTGGCTGTGCACGCACTTGTGTGCTCTCTGGGCTATCTGTGTGGCTCTATCAACCACGAGCTGCACGTGTTGTCAGACGAGATTTACGCCAACTCCAAGTTCGGGTGAGATGTCATGTCTATCGAGCCGACTCAAACATTGTGAGCCTCCTTTCCCCTGCTCCTCTCCCCCCCCCCCCCCCTCCCCCCCGTTTTTATTACTTTCTGCCCTCTCTGGGCTCTCTGTGCTGCTACACCAACCATGAGCTGCAAGTGCTGTCCGACGCCAAGTTTGGGTGAGCCTCCCTCTGCCAGCTGTACGCAACGCACTTCTGGCTCTCCTCTCCCGAGCTCGCTGCCCTCTCTGCCCTCGCTGCCCTCGCTGCCCTCTCTGCCCTCGCTGCCCTCTCTGCCCTCGCTGCCCTCTTTGCCCTCGCTGCCCTCTCTGCCCTCGCTGCCCTCTCTGCCCTTGCTGCCCTCTTTGCCCTCGCTGCCCTCTCTGCCCTCGCTGCCCTCTCTGCCCTCGCTGCCCTCTTTTCCCTCGGTGCCCTCTCTGCCCTCGCTGCCCTCTCTGCCCTCGCTGCCCTCTTTGCCCTCGCTGCCCTTTTTGCCCTCGCTGCCCTCTTTGCCCTCGCTGCCCTTTTTGCCCTCTTTGCCCTCGCTGCCCTCTCTGCCCTCGCTGCCCTCTTTGCCCTCGCTGCCCTCTTTGCCCTCGCTGCCCTCTTTGGCCTCGCTGCCCTCTTTGCCCTCGCTGCCCTCTTTGCCCTCGCTGCCCTCTTTGCCCTCGCTGCCCTCTTTGCCCTCGCTGCCCTCTCTGCCCTCGCTGCCCTCTCTGCCCTCGCTGCCCTCTCTGCCCTCGCTGCCCTCTCTGCCTCTCTCGAGCTTTTGGGCTGCTAAAGCCTCCACGAGCTGCAAGTGCTGTCAGACGAGATTCACTCCAACTCCATGCCACTTTATGGCGGATGAGAGACTGAGGCACACGTGCATCCCCCGCCTTCACTCCCCCTCCTCCCCCCTGCCTGCCGTTTCCCTCTTCCCCGCTCCCCTGCATACAGTTCTTCAGCCTCTGAGTTCGTGAGCATAGAGAAGGTGGCGGGTCACCTGGTGGCGGAGGGACGGCTACCACAGGCACTGAGAGAGGAGCGGGTGCACACGGCGTACGGCATGAGCAAGGACTTTGGCATGAACGGGTTCCGAGTGGGGTGCCTGCACACCAAGAACAAGGACCTGCTTGCGGTCAGTTAGTGGCATGCGTTTTTCATTCACTCATGCATGCCAAGCGTTGCCATGCCATGCCACACCATGAGGAGTGGGTGGGTAGATACAGCTTGGGTAAGAGCTTTGGCATGAACGGGTTCAGAGTTGACTTTTGAGTCGACTCAAAGGAGTGGGTGGATAGATACAGCTTGGGTAAGAACGTTGGCATGAACGGGTTCTGAGTGGGATGCCGCCTGATCGGTTCTTAACTTTTGGATTAGTTCACACCAAGAACAAAGACCTGCTGGCAGTGAGTCGCTCATTCATGCTTGCCATGCTGATCCGCGCCATGCCATGCCATGCCATACCGTACCATGCCATGCCGTACCATGCCAGCATCTCACCTTACACTTCCATAGCCATGCCGTTCCTTCAACCGACCCACACACCACCATCTCTCGCTCATTGCTCCTGCGACCCTCTCGGTTCTGGCAGAACACTGGCAGTTCGCGGCGGTGTATTCCCCAGTTCAAACAACTCGCAGCACACCATTACCCAGTCGATTGACCCACACCCCACCATGTCCTGTGTATTCCCCTTATTGCCCCTGCGACCCACCCAGTTCTGGCAGAACATTGGCATGTTCGCGGCAGTGTCAAATGATGACACACCACGGCCCTGTCGAACGACCCGCATACCACCATGTCTTGTGTGTTCCCTCCCCCTATTTCCCCGCTGACTGAACCCCAGTTCTGGCAGAACATTGGCATGTTTACAGCGGTGTCAAACGACACACAGCACGCCCTGTCGATTGACCCACATGCCACCGCCTCTTGTGTATCCCCCCCCTGTTACCTCTGTGAACCCCAGTTCTGGCAGAACATTGGCATGTTTGCAGCAGTGTCAAACGACACGCAACACGCCCTGTCTGTGATGCTGGAGGATGACAAGTTCGTCGACTCTTATGTCTCCGAGAATAAGCGGTGAGAGTGTATGCTTAACAGGTGCACAAGAACAAACGGTGGGGGCCTGCAGCATGCAGCACACCCACCAATCATTCACCTGCAGCACACCCTGTCAGTGATGCTGGAAGATGACAAGTTCGTCGACTCCTATGTCTCTGAGAATAAACGGTGAGAGCAAGTGGTGAAGGGAGGGACAGTGATGCAGCATGCAGCACACCCACTAGTCACTCACCCGCAGCATGCCCTGTCAGTGATGCGGGAAGATGACAAGTTCGTCGACTCCTATGTCTCCGAGAACAAACGGTGAGAGCATGCAACGTGCAGCGTGCAACGCTCCCCAGTCACTCACCCGCAGCACACCCTGTCAGTGATGCGGGAAGATGACAAGTTCGTCGACTCCTATGTCTCCGAGAACAAACAGTGAGAGCATGCAACGTGCAGCGTGCAACGCTCCCCAGTCACTCACCCGCAGCACACCCTGTCAGTGATGCGGGAAGATGACAAGTTCGTCGACTCCTATGTCACCGAGAACAAACGGTGAGAGCATGCAACGTGCAGCGTGCAACGCTCCCCAGTCACTCACCCGCAGCACACCCTGTCAGTGATGCTGGAAGATGACAAGTTCGTCGACTCCTATGTCTCTGAGAATAAACGGTGAGAGCAAGTGGTGAAGGGAGGGACAGTGATGCAGCATGCAGCACACCCACCAGTCACTCACTCACCCGCAGCACGCGCTGTCTGAGATGCTGGAGGATGACAATTTTGTCGACTCCTATGTTTCCGAGAATAAGCGGTGAGAAGGGAGGCTCGCAGTGATGTGATGGCACATCTGTATGGACTCACTCAGTGGCACTGCCTCGGTAACACTCACCCTGCACTCACTCACTTCACTGTGTGATGCTGGAAGACGACAAGTTCGTTAATTCCTGTGGGGCTAATGACAGGTGGGTGATGGGCTTACAGGTAACCCTGTCTGTCGCCTCAATGCTTGTCCTTCCCACTTGCAACCCCCACCTGTCCGTCAACACCGCTCTTGTGTGCACTCCCACTTCCCTTGTAAATAGCCTGTTTCATCAATCCCACTGAATAATTCCACTGATAAATCCTACTAAACAGTCCCACTTATCTATTCCACTTATTAATCCCACTTGTTAATCCCACTAGTTAATCCTACTAGTCAACCCCGAGAATCATCCCTACAACCCCCCCTCTTTCATCCTGTCACCCCAGGCGCCTCAAGATGTCATACGACCTGCTGACATCAGCGCTCGAGGCAGCGGGCATGCAGTACCAGCCGGCATGTGCTGCCATGTTCTGCTGGCTCGACCTGCGCGCCGTCCTCTCTCACCCCACCCCCTCCCCTCCCATTGCTCCCCATCTCCTTGCTCCCCTGCCCCTCTCCTCCACGCACTTCTTTCCCTCCGTCAGTCACCCCTGACAATCAGACCTCCCCCTTACACCCTCCCCTGCACTCCCCTTTCCCCTCCCTCCCCACCACCCCAGGCGCCTCAAGATGTCATACGACCTGCTGACATCAGCGTTCGAGGCAGCGGGCATGCAGTACCAGCCGGCATGTGCTGCCATGTTCTGCTGGCTCGACCTGCGCGCCGTCCTCTCTCACCCCACGTTTGAGGCGGAGCGGCTGCTGTGGCGCGAGATTCTCGACTCATGCAAGATAGTTATCACTCCAGGTGAGATAACTATCATGACAGGTGCGATGGGCATCACTCCAGGTGAGATAACTATCATGACAGGTGCGATGGGCATCACTCCAGGTGAGATAACTATCATGACAGGTGCGATGGGCATCACTCCAGGTGAGATAACTATCATGACAGGTGCGATGGGCATCACTCCAGGTGAGATAACTATCATGACAGGTGCGATGGGCATCACTCTAGGTGAGATATCTATCATGACAGGTGCGATGGGCATCACTCCAGGTGAGATTGTGCGACCAGCATTATTCCAGGTAAGGCTGCTTGTGCGAAGCTTTTGTGAGATGAGGCGAGAGGGGCATCACTCCCTTTCAGGTGCGATGGATGATCTTTACAGGTCCCGCCCACCCAGCAGCCATGATGAGGTGAGGCGTGCCACTACGGGGAGCTGGGGTTCTTCTGCGCGTGCTGCACCGCCTGGCCACCATGCTCAATGCCTCTCATGCCCTCCCCTGTTGCCCCACATTGTGCCCCAATTTCCCCATTGCCCCGTGCCTATTTCCCCAACCAGGTGAGGCGTGCCACTACGGGAGCCGGGGTTCTTCCGCGTGTGCTACGCCGCCATGCCGTCTATGCTCAGTGTCCTGCGTCTCTCTTCCTTTCCATTCCCCCTTACACCCTTTGCCCCATTACCCCCTTTCTGACCACAACCAGGGGAGGCGTGCCACTATGACGAGCCGGGGTTCTTCCGCGTGTGCTACGCCGCCATGCTTGTGTCAATTCTTAGGAGTCTCAATGTCCTCCAATTTCCGTACCCCCATTCCATGCCTGACCACGCCCAGGCGAGGCATGCCACTATGGCGAGCCGGGGTTCTTCCGTGTGTGCTACGCCGCCATGTCGCCCGACCAGCTGTCGGTGGCGTGTGCCAGGCTGGCGGCCTTCTGGAAGAAAAAAGTGGCGGAGAGAGCAGCTGACGGGCAGGGGGGGAACGGGCAGGAGGAAAACGGGCCAGGGGTGGCCGGGCAGGCAGAAAATGGGCAGGGGGGTGTTGCGGAGGGGAATGGCGAGAGTGAGGAAGGGGAGGAAAAGCAAGGTGAGGGGGGAGAAAAGGGGCAGGGCGCTGTGGGTGGGGAGGGGTCTTTGAGTAGAAAACGCAAGGCGGAAGATGACCCAGGGGATGCTTAAAGCCAAGGTGTTCTTGCGGTCTGTTCGAGTCTTTCCTAAAGCGTAAGGCGAGGTGGCTGTGAGGATGCTTAGGTTTTGTGTGCTAAAGAGCATGGGTTTCAGTTTGCTCAGCTACCTACCGGTATTTAACGAGCGGCAGCACAGAAGATAGGCACACATTGACTCCATTCCTTGCTGTGCCAGCCAAAGTACCTCTTACACTTACGGCAACCTACCAGGTGATCCCTGTCATTAAAAGTACCACCGTACCGGTAACTTTGGGAGTGGTTTTTGTTTGCCAGTTTATGGTTCTCCTCCAGAGAAAGTGCTGCAAGGAATGGAGTTACCGTATTAATGTGTGCAGACCCTTGAAATCCTCCAGCCACTGAATGCAGCCCAGTGCTGGTACATCAATGCTAAATAACATATGGTATCTCTAAACAACACTAGAAAATTACGTGCTTATTTATCGCGTTTGTCACTGGACCAACGCGTTTATTCACTAATTGTTGGACAAGGATCACGCGGCTATTCCCTGTCGCACTTACCATCAAAACGGCAAGCCCCTGGCCGTCGGTTTCTGCCGCACCAATCGGCTCCGCGCGAGCCGTTGATACAAGCCGCTCACGAGAACGGTTCGCTCCAGCACCTGCCCTAGAGTCCGTCCCAGCATCGCCAGCTGCAAAAGCGTCCTCCAGCAAATCACGAGAGCCGATACGCGATGATCCGAGGCGGGGGTGGAGGCGGGAAACGAGGGGAGGTTGGGTGTCGGTAACGGCTTGAGAGCGTTTGAGTGTGGGTAAGTGTCGACGCCGCGGTTTTGTGAGCATGCGACGTCGATCGCCGTGGAGCGGCCGGTGTGCTGTGCACCTTTCTCAAAGAGCAGGAACGCTGCTGGGAACCCGGTTCCGTTTAACGATGAGCCAGGCTGCTTTGCAAGTGACTGAAGATTGTTAACTGGATGCGAGACACATTGCGGCGATGACGGGTAAGCCGCTGCTGTACTAGCAAAAGCACCCTGTACACTATGAACGGAAGTAGGCAAATAACGGTCTTCAGATTGATCATTGTGAGCCAGCATCTCGCCAATGGCCGCGTGAAGGGACTTGGAAAACCGAACTACCTCCATGTCTCTTTCTAAGCGAACTCGAAACCCTTTCTGATTATTGCGTAGAAAATGAGGTCAGCAGGGAATTAGGCCGCAGCAGCAGCAGCAGCAGCAGCAGAAGCAGCAGATAGGCAGCGGGATAGCTTCAGGTGGATGGTAGTGTAGGAACAATCGGCGAAAACTTCCGATCAAGCTTGGATGAAGTTCAGCTGAAGCTTTTCTTCACGAAATGGTACGAATGGAGAGACGACTCTGGAGATATAGCTTCACAAGCTGGAATTTGATCGTCGAAAAGGATCGGGTCACACCATCAATGCCATGGAGCCGTAAATATGGTGACGAGCTGGAAAGATGCGGGAACAGAACGTCGCTCAAGACAGCAATAATTACGGGTCTTCGTCAGAACGTCGTGCAAGAACGTAGTTTGCCTCCTGCACATATAATTGTGTTTACTCCAGTCTCCAGTTTTCTTCCTGGTTGACCACCGCGAAGCGCGCGTGCATTCTCGATTTGCCTAACATGTAGGGTTACAGGTCTCAAAATTATCGCAAGAATGTTCTCAGCCAATACGAACCTTTGGATCTACCAGACGCGTTCAGAAATGTCGCATGATGAGCCAGGCGAGGCGAGACTGTGTGACAGGTGTTCGCGTTGTTTGGTCTGAAGGATGGGGGTGAGGCCAATTGTCAGCGAACTCACGAAACCTGACTCGAAATGAACGAGTGTCGCGAGCGAGCTTGCTTTCGCAAAACCTTCAATGACCATAATCCCGTAGGGAAACAGATGAGCCAGATTGGTTCGTTGACCAAACTTCGCTGACGTAAGTTTGCGTGTGATAGGGGACCGGCGAAAGGTTGCGCCCCTCCCATCCAAGCAGTCAACAAGCAGTGTGTCTCCACACTTCGCAAATTGTCGTGCGTCCAGCATTCTGGACTGACAGTTGTAGACATTCAAGCCATTTTAGGGCAGACTTTCATTCTTAGTTTACGACAGTCCTCGACAGCCTATCTCACCCAGTCATCTACTTTCCACGTCACAACGACTAAATGGTTGGGCGACATTCTGAAAACTCCGCGTCAACGACGAGGCATGCGACACAGCCCCCGTGCTAAAGACCCTCGAACCTGAGTGCGACGAGACGAACCTTTGAACCGCGCCTGTGCGATCGTTCCATCCCAAGAGATTGGCCCGCCAAATTCAACGGGCCGTTGTGCGACGGACAGGAATCCAGGAATTCAAGCCTGTTCTATGTAGGTTCGAAACGCGAGTCGCAAGCGCGCGCTTCTGTTTTCAACGATATTATGTAGGCTCGGCCAGAGAGCTACCAGCTTAGCTTCAGTGGCCAGGAGGAGTTAAAGCCCAAGTCTAGAGGTTGCAAACGTTGTCTTCACAATAGGTTAGCTTAGCTAGCTTAGTTTTAGGTTAGGAATAAAAAAGAAGACGAGGGGAGGGAAGGGATACAAGGTCAGCGAAGCGGAAAGGGAGCAAGGGAGGAGGGCGGGGGGGTGCGAGGTGGAGTCAAGTTTGAAGTAGAGAGTGTAGGTGCATCAGGGGACGGTGCATCAGAGAACGGTGTATCAGGGGACGGTGATCAGGTGACGGTGTATCCGGGGACAGTGATCAGGGGACGGTGTGTCCGGGGACGGTGCATGAGGGGGCATGGAGATGAGGACGGTCCAGCAGGCGACGTACAGCCTGGCATCGCCGCATAGCTACCTGCGCATTACCATGTGAGCGAGACGGCATAGCTACCTGCGCATTACCATGTGAGCGGGGTGAAGGGGAGAGGGCGAGAGAAAGTGAAAAGGAAGAGGGAAAGCAGTGAAGGGAGAGGGAGAGGGAGAGGGAGGGTGATGGGGAGACAGCGGCAGACGGAGAGGGGCTGGAGTGGGGGAGAGAGGGAGAGAGGGGAGAGAGGATGGGCGAGGGGAACGACTCAAAACTCTTAAGTTCTCCTCTCCGTTTCTGCCTCAGCGGCTCTGTGAATGTGAACCGCTTTCTGAGGCGTCTCAAAAATAATTTCCACGTGTTATTCTATCCTTTCTGCCCCAGATCTGTGAATGTGAATCGCCAGCAGCAACAGCAGATCTGGGAGGGGCGGTGGGGATCGCATTGCCGGGCTTCCATTTTGCGGGGACAATGGCCACGCCAGCAGCGTTCTTAACGGCGGCGAACTGACGCTTCGCAGTGACGGAGCAACCACCGGTGAACGCGTAACCAATGGCGCCCTTGGTCGCGGCGATCGCGTCGCACACGCCCTGAGTTCCCTCAGCCTTCTTAAGGCCGGTGTACGTCATGGAAGTGCCGTCCGTGCCGTCGCCATAGCCCGACACGGCCTTGCTCCACATCGTCTTCACAATCGCCGTGGATCCAGACTTGTCGCTGCGAGACACGCGGGTAATGGCTCCCGCGACCTTGCCTGCAGCACCAGGCGCCGCTGTAGATCTGATACGTCTGGGTGGCCGTCATCCAGATGTTGGGCTTGCCGTTGACGAAGAAACTGAAGGTGGAGACGCAGAGCGGCACGGTGATCTAGGGGGATGCGTTACTGCCCTCTTGCGCTGTGGTCATGGGGTCATTGGAGACAGCAATAACGTAAGTTCCGCTGTTAAAGCCGGAGATTCCGGTCCCCGATCCCACTGCGTCGTAGTTAACGACATCCTGGGAGACTCCCGGCTTGGCCTTGTTCCACGCCGCGACGAGCTTTGTCCCGGCCTGAAATCAGGGGATAAATACAGAGTCTAATCAGTATTGCGGTGTGGATTATCGTGGGCCAAGACTTCATTTGACGGTATCTTGGGAGCCACGAGAACCAGGCAGGACGAAATGTGAGGGGAAAACGGACACTTTGGAAGAAGGGCTTACCGGTCCGAAGGTTGACGCTCCGCCCATGAAGCCAGCGAGCGCGTGCGACGAGAAAGAAGCGATCAGGAGAGCCACCGCGAGTGTGGGAAGGGAGTGAGCCATGGCGCCCAGGAAAATCTCGATAAGGCTTCTGGGTTTGATCAGAGCTCCTTGACTAGTGAGCAGGAATCGAGTATATGTTGTGGGAGCAGAGAGGATCAATTTATGCTTCACATTTGCAATTGCGCGCTTCGGGGTGTGAGGATGAATGAAAGCTGTCAAGTCCCATTCAGTCGGGTGACACACTACACTGGCGAAACAATGGAATCTTTCACCAGTTACCGTAACAGGAGGGATTACGGATTGGATACGACGCCAGTCGTCGCTTCTAGCACATTGGTTCGTTACACATGTCAGCACGAATTTGAACAAGGTCTGTCGCCACATTATTCGATGTAACGGCAGAACCACATTGGATGTGCGCTTCGACATGGAAGGAATATTTCAGAGAAGGGATCTTGCCAAATTGGAGGAATATTTGTTCTGTGGAATCATGTCAGCTATCCGATTGGTTCACAGCGGATGGCGCCACAAAACATTCGTCCATCTCACAAACGCAAAGCCGTGGGTGGGGACAAAAAGAGGCTATCGTTAATAGTGTCCCGCTAAGTCTGCCGTATGACTTCATTCAGTATGTTTCATAAGTGGGCATACAAGTTCACTAAACAGTCTTTTGAGACTTAACAAACAAGTCTTGAGTACGCTGTGAGGGTCCATAAAAATACGGTAGAATAAACTTCAAACCAAAAACTCGAGTGCCTTCACAATTACAACTGAGCATCCATACTCCATTTCTCCCACAGATTTAGTAAAGATTGGGGGGTTTGTTCAAATTGGGATAGACGGATATTAATACCAGTACAGTACTTGCAAGACATCCTACATTATAAAAATGTCAAGTAACGAACGAGAAATAAATGAACTAACAAAGAGTTGGGTGCAATTAATAACCCTAATTGGGTTGTACCTGTTGGGCTGAGAAAAGCCCTTAGGAACTTTCAGGACTAAG